GCATGACATGGTAAAACAAACTAAAAATTGGGGGGGGGGGGGGGCTGGGAGACAGGGGGGGTGGAAGAGGATAAACCCTGACCCTAACTCCCTAGGGGTGTGCAAAATCAAATTGAAATTGGAAGATTCAGGACTGTTAGGGATTTCTCTGTTGATTGGAGATACATAGTACATGTTGTACATGTTGTAGTTGTAATAAGTGAACAAAATATCTTGACCACCGTAACTCATAAATGTTTAACAAAGTACAGGTATGTGCATACATGTATACACATGTACAATGATACACATTTAGAAACTACGTTTTCGTTTTTTCTTTTTCTTTTGTTTTTTTTGCGTTGTAGATTATGAAAACATTAAACACAATAAAAAACATCTTGCAGGTACTGTCTGCCAGGTTGAGCATTTCCTTGTCATTGCGTGTATCTGCGAACTGCATGCAGATCAACGACATCAACTACACGTACATAAACTGCGACAAGTGTCTCTCTTTCTGAGCAAATAGACAGGTCTTGATTGTTAAGTGTTTAGAGACAGAGATGAGATGTTTACAACCGAATTAATTCAGAATTTCAAAGTACATGAAGAGTTTGAGATACTCTTGTACACTCAGAAGAGTGTGCCCTGAGGTCCAACTCATACGTCATGCAAATTATAGAGCGAATCAAATTTAAAGTGTAATTTAACAAACGTCATAACAAAAAGTTCTACATTTGTCAACAACTGGTCGACAACTGGACGTCATGAAATTTGCCGTTTTCACAGATTCTGTTGCATACGTACCAGGTAGTTGCAACATTCTTCCGTAATTTTTTTAAGATAGACACTTTTCAAATTTGGTTTCAACTCTAAATCCGAGGGCTTCTTTAATTTGGACGGGAATACCACAAAAACAGAAGAGAAAGTGAAAGATTTTGAGTTGAACTTCTTCTTTTTTCACCCTGGAAAGGTCTTAATTTTTTTTTTCCAAACTAGGGTAATCACCTTAAACGCTTTAAAGTTTAATCCCAAAGGGTGTGTGAAAAACCTTCTAAAATTGGGAGAAAAATCAGGACTGTTAGGCCAAAAAAAAAAGTCTCCGGTTTCTGGTATGGAGCTTGCCCAAAAAGTGGTGCGGCGACACGTTTTTTTTTTTTTTTTACCCGTTTTTTTTGCTTCAAATGTCAGCTGATGACTGCAAATGGTGCCCGACTAAACTTACATGTTGTGCAAATATTATGGGAGACCAGAGAGGCCACATAAAGCTTCTTCTCGATCATAACCCCATCTAAAAACACGTTAAAATTGTGCAGCAGCAGGATTCCAGTCAAACCAGTGAGTTTGGCGGTTTTGAGACGTCATCTTTCATTGAAAAAAAAACTTTTTCATTTTGCCGATGCGCATGGCTACGGCGACGCGCGCGCATACCAGAAACCGGAGACTTTTTTTTTTTTGGCCTTAGGTTTAAGGATTATTTTTTTAAATCCAGGTGCTTCTTTAAACAATCCCTCTATAAGATTATCTTCCAAATCAATAATTCAACATGAAGAATCTCGTACTAACTTGTGTGAGAAACAGTTTGACCACAGTCTCCAGAAATTCCATCATAACAACAAGTGGCCTTCCGTTCATATCAATTCAAGATTTTTTTTTCAAGTGTGTGAAACAGTTGGCTGCTGGTTTGAAGCAAAGTTCACTAGAGTAACAGATCCCAGGGGGAGACTGGTAGGACCAGCGGGGCCAAAATTAAAATCGGAACGGATGACCTGATTCACGCAGAGATTTTTAACTCCCAATATCACGGGCCAATTTCACGGGGGATACTAAGCACAAAAAGATTGTTACAAGCAAAGACAATATTTAGTTAGCAAAGAAAGGCCTCCAGCCAAAATGTTATACACTGTACAAATACTCACATTGTAAAGACTCATTCTCAAATAATTTTTGCTTTGTTCATAAAATGTTCTGCTTGGAAGCTTTTTTTATACTTGACATCAAAACGCAAAAAGGCAAAAATCCAATATATTTTCAAAACACATGCCAAAAATGGCAATTAACCCTAACTTTCCCCGAATTCTCCAAAATTCTCTGTGCAAAATGGATGATTTTGCTGGAATGAGGCTATATGGCAATTGGCAAAAGTGTGCGGCTGATTTTGGAGGATGCACTTTGTGTCTTAGGCAGGACCCTGTGTTGTTTATGCTCAGCCGTACATAAATCTAGGCCTATAGGCCTTTTATACTGAATCCTCCGCTCTGCTCCGAAAGTCACTAACTCTGCCTCAACATATTGACATTGATTGCCGGAGGATTTCGCAGGATTGAGGCAGTGGTCACCCTTCCAAGGACCAGATTCAAGAAATAACGGAGGATTTTGCAGGATTGATGCTGCATGCAATTTTAACATGGAGGCAGTCGGAGGATTTTACAGGATTGAGGTTACATTCTAGCAAAAAATGCCCAGGAAGTTGGGGTTAAATTTCCTTTTGCTTGAGTTACCTTTTTTTTGTACAAGATTTAAGCACAATAATAGATCTGTCGCAATAATATCAAACAGAAGAAATTTAACACTTTGATGTCCCATAGTCACTTGGGGAGGGGGAGGGGGTGGGGTGGGGTCGGAGAGGGGGTGGGGAGCTCAAGACAGGGGTTTCATACAGGCTATGCAACTGTAACACAGTACAGGTGACTACATTTACGGTAGACTTTTGGCCCTGTTTGATAATGACAATGGCGTAACAAGTTAAGGTTAAAGGGAATACACATCATTTGCTTTTGCTGTAATTTTCAGAAATGGATGGAATTGGGGGGTTGGAAATATATAGCAAATATAGTTACACTGACTTTTTTGAGGTTTTGGGTTCGAAAATGCTATAAAAACCAAGAAAAACGATCACTTTCCTGTAGTCTGGTTCCCTGACTCCATATAAGAAGAAACAGAGCAGTTTACATACATTGGGGAATTGTAAGGTCAAGGAACCAGTCTAGCTGGCTCGTACCCGTTCATAGGTTTGTAATCGATTGCAAACAAGTGCGATGGTCAATTGGGGCCAGTATTTGAAAAAAAGCCAGTTGTTTCCAACGCTGATCGGCCGATCAGCGTTGGAAATTGATACAAAAATACCACTTTTCTTGAAAATGACAGTATACCAGGTGCCATGATTTACAGGATGCTTTACACTGTCATTCACTAACAGTCCAGCAAGGTATTTCAAAATGATTTGGTAGTTTTATTTTTTGATGTTTGCAAATGTTGTATTTTCCCTTTAAACACATTTCAAATGTCAAACATGTCAAAGATTTCCACATACTCGCAACACGACGCATTTTTAAGAGAGTACAATTGTGCAGTTTTAACATTGATGTTACCTACATGTACATGCATGGCATGAATGACTGAGTGACGATGCATTAGGAGTCCAGTGAATTTCATTTTTATTAAGAAATCTTATGCAATTTTTGTATTACTGAAAAGAGAATCACACAACAAAATCAATGGCGTTTAAGTCAGCTTCAAAGGTGTGCGATGCGACCATACAATGTCAGACGGCCCGCCGTTAGGCATGGGAAAGTTTTTTCTGACGTTGGTTGCGGTTTTTGCCGCTGTCAGTGGAAGATCGTTTCTACGTGGTGGTGTGTAGTCCTAGGGGGATGACGAAATTACGCACAACAGGGTTCGGACAGTGACCCGAATTTCGACACGTGGTAAACAACTCACAAAATCAATATTTATCAATATTATAATAAAATATATAATAATAATATATTTTGAAATTTGTTGGAGACATAACTAATACAGGTCAAAAATATAACTTTTACGGGCATAAATATACAAACCTACGCAACTAAACGTGCGCGTAACGTAGCCTTACCCCTGCGCGCTGAAAAAAATGGTGCCACCAATGGCAGAAGCACGTGATCTGCATGCACATGACGCAATGCCGAACTTTAATACGCACAGGATGCTGAATTCTGTGTCGAATTTCCGGACAACACGAACATCTTACAAAGTCACGTGACATTACCAAAGCAGGTACGGGATCGATTTAGTTATAGTATCGCAACATGTGCTATGCCTAAGTGCTGTGTGTAGGGCCCGGTTCCTATAATATAAGGGAACAAAATCCACTTTAAATTTATTAGACCGACCAAACTAGTTGGCTACATTCTCAATTAACAAGTATGTCATAGATAAAGGGCAGGGTTTTGATTTTTTAAGGGAAATTTAGGGTTAAATGACGGTGACAGCGCGGCGACAACACGCAACCCGAAAATAAAGATGGCAATCACCGCGCGATGTACGTGAGCACGCACGGCGCGCTGAATCGCAAGGCACAAACCGCACAGGAAAATCATGATTTCTACCCCAAGAAACTGTTCAAAATTGCAAAACAGGTGTCATTAGAATTGAGAAAAGTCTGCTTTTGATTGTAAAGTTGATTTTTGAGCAATAAAAAAAATGTTTGTCTCTAATTTCATCAAAACAAAACAGGGGCCCTACACTACACGATCGCCATCGATATTGCATAATGTCGAAAAATAATAATCAACTCTTATGATGCCGATATTCGGGATGTCTTCCCTAGCCTGCCTAACAATGAGTAACATTAAAAAGTAACGTCATAAATTCCATCTCATAAATATAATAACATAAATTCAGACAATTCTACAACGTTCGCCTACAATTACAAACATGACAAATACGGAAAAAAAAATATAGGCCCTATTATATTACAGGTCTACTCGGCTCAATGTATATGTACATCACAGGCCTACATCAAAAGTACGTGCAGGCTTACGTTCGGATATTTATGGAACACGAGACGCGTCAATGCAAAGCAAAGCACACAACATAACACACAACGTTACACTCAACAATAATCTTACCGCACTACTCAAACGCGGTGAAGTCTGCAAAAATACGCCAGACACTGTGTCACTTCTCAGCACATTACGGACAATTTTCTGCCACAATTTAACCGGCAAGAGAGATGACACAGCACACCTAGCGTATGAACTCACCCTGAGAGAGACAACGGGCCCTGGAAACCTGTACGGTAGACGTGAGAATTATTGTGATGAAAACTTTCCCCCTTTCGATCGGACAGGACATTCACGGATGAACTCTACACGCCATCTTGAACCCTGATATTTCTCGTTTATTTTTTTAACGTGTAGTTCGTATTTACATGCTTCGAATTCATCATCAAAATGTTGATGTTATTTGGAACAAATCAGAGTCCAATCTATTTCAATAATCTATTTTAGTCAACATAACTACAGCCAAAGACTTTTTGCTCCTCACATTTTAAATCGAATGCAACTGTCACCATCTGCACGTTGATATATCCTTCAAACATTTCCAAGTGATGATATCACGTGATCAACTCGATCCAATCAAGTAAAGTTTCGCGGTCTATTTTTAGCCACATGCACTTCCCCTTGGGGCGGGCACGGTCAACATGTTCGTGTTGTTATGTGTTGGCGTACGGCCCGAATAATACTTTCGTTTGTGATTTTATTTTGGCGCAGTATTTTGTTACAAGAATGTTTTGCCGCCTTTAAGCTTTGCTATAAACAGCAAAACATGTCAGTTTCAGGTGTTATTTTGCGAAAGTAAAAACAGCACGCATGTGTATCGGTTTATCATGCCTCATTAAATACTAAATAAAAATGAACGGAAACTCATATTATCCGGAAGTAGTCTACAAAAATAGCCCCAACTTTTATCCAGCATATTTTGTTTATTATGCCTGATTAAGTTTAACTAAGCTTACCGGTTTCAGGAACTAGAATTATCTTATTCTTTAATACTTGTTCTTTCTTTTTTAAATGTGAGATTTGCATCGTCTTTTGCGCCTTATACTGCACTATAATTTGCAAGAGTTTTTACAAGTTGTGAACAGTATCTTTTTTTGTCAATCCTAAATTTTAGTTTATTATTTTTTAGCTTGGTTTGAGGTCACAGTAAAATAAGTTGTTTTTGTTTTTACTTCGTCCGTGATTTGACAACGAAACTTGCCACTGCGAACTGAGACAGGTCAACACCTTACCTGTATGCATCACGGTACCTATGAAAGTGTATTTCTGTTAAAAGATCGTTGGAACTTCAACATTTATTCAGGGATCGCCTGACTAAAGTATATTTATAGTATTGTGAACCTGCAACAGCTAATACATTTAAAGTCCAAGTTTTACACTTACTTTGTTACTTTTTTCACAGATGTCTTCGAATTGCGCTGAAACAGAACTCAATTTGTAACAATTTAGCCGAGATGAGGCAGAACGAAAAATAACTACAAAATAATTACTTCCATGCTTCAGCTCTAACACTTTATTTTTTTTACTTAATGTCTCGCCAAAAAACCTTTAAATCACTTGGCTTGCGACACGGTCATTATGACCTAACTTTTATCTGGTTTAACCTCAACATTTACCTTTGTCATAACGATGTAACCATGGCTTTTTGCAAATATTGTAGGAATACTGTTTAGGGTTCAGTCAAGACCAAGCCCCCGTGACATTCAATCTAAATAGTTAATATCTTTTACGTCACCTCGTTCAGATTTTTTTGAAAACAACTTCAGCTTTGGCATGTTCAAATAATAATATTGTGCTAATCATGCTCCAAGCTCTCATCAACAGTCCATATATATGTTTTTTCCTGTACATTCAATAAGCCATGTTTACTGGACCTGTTGTTTGCCGGGCCCGGGCGGTTGCTATGGCAGTGTGACGTCAATGTCCGAATTGCGTCACCACCGGGCCACTATGGAGGGAAATAAAAATCCGGGCTGTTGCTATGGAAATCCACTAATGATATTGACAGGTGATTCCGTTGCCCAGGCCAGCTCGGTGTTATAATGTTGTGTCCTTACCCGTTTTTTGCTTTTCACGACATGTGAATTGGTAAATGAAGCTGGGGCATGCATTTTGGTTGTGTTTTTCTCATTTCTGAAGTGATTGTTTTTAACAAGCAGTTCTTGGTTGCCATGGCACCTCATCATTATCTCCTTCAACCATGGTCATCATAGTAATATTTTTTTTTCAACTGAGGTCCCTCTGCTGGCTAAAAAAAAAAAGATATGCAAATTGCAAGATGCTTCCCTACGTAAGCCAAGGAGAGCGGAAGTGGGAAGGGAAAAAACAAAAACGAGGCCATTTCAAGCTTTTAAGCACAGTGTCGTTACACCGTCATCAAAATCTGATCTTTGACCTCTGAATCGTGATCAGGCAAAAATAAAATGTCGTTTAAATCGCAGATGATGTATCGCGAGGTATTTAATTGATTTAACGTGGTGCTAAGTGCAGCTGGACACATTTGAGATAATGGTTACAAAATATTTGATTTTCAGTTAATGTTTGGTGTCGGTGGACTTTTTCCGACCGTAAGCCTACGAGTAGTTTCGAGGAAAAAAGTTTTTCCCTTCCCCCAAAACAGCTGTAGCTTTCGTGATACATCATCATTGGATTATATCTAAGTGCTTCAGGCATTGTATTTCTCAAGTAAACAAGGTAAACAGACATGGAACATCGTCGTGCGATTTTATCATTCTCATTTTTCGATACTCTCCACTATACTGTACAACATGCACAAAAATGTAAGGGCATTTGCATTCCCCGAATGGGGGCGCCCTATAGGATTAACGTGCCGCGCATCTACACGGGCCACACGGCATCAGCTATGGGAAAGCCTTGTTCTGAACCGTTTCCTTCGCGATACGACGTGCATGCACTGATAAACGAGGCAAAATTAAACATCAAGGCGATTTGATGAGGCATTGTTTGATTTGAAATTACGAATTAAACTTGCAACAACAAAAATACATAGTTCACAAACCGTGCGAGGGCGCTACATCAATTTAATGGACAACCAACAGTCGCATCCGTGGTCGCATCAGCAGCTTACTACAACGCCCTCTTTCGGTTGACTGCATGTTTTATCGAGTGGGGCTTGACTTTGAAATATCAAAATACGCCCTGTCGAAAAGCTGATGTCTACAAAAAAAATAGGAACGTTTTGATCAATCCGGTCGCGCCATCACTTCTATCACGGAGGTCCCCGTTCATGGGGCAGTATAGGTTTGCACAATATAATTATAATAGCAGAGGTACAATGTTGTCGCCTTTGAAGGAAAGGGGGCCTTCATCTATAACGAAGACACTGACGAGTTGGGATCTCGCCAGCACCAACCCATGAAATGAATGTAGGTAAGCAAGTTGGTACAGCAATTTACGGTACCGCCGTCGTCAAGGGGGACCCAGCCCCCCCCCCCCCCCTTGCCCCCGTGACGAGCAACTGTCCCCCCCCCCCCCAATCGGCAAAAATCATGTGTATAAATTATACACATGCCGTGCTTTTTTCTTGTGGTGTGCCCCCCCCCCCTCTAGTTTGTACTGAGCCCCCCCCCCCCCCCCCCCCCCCCCAATGCCCAGAACTGGCAACAGTGTACGGTAGTCCGGCAGAGTATTATTTCAAATCCAGCTATGAATTCAACCTTAATACATGTACAAGGTTTTAAACATCTTGAAAACAGTGTCTTTGATTTCAGATCCGTCTCCGTCAGGAAAGGGGTTCCTCTTGAGAAGAATTCACTGCGGGGGAGGGGAGGGGGATAGAAGGGGTGGCGATGGGCTACTCGGGATGACAGCCCCGAGTAGACTGGGAGAGGCAGGGAAAACCAAAAGGGGAAATGCGACAGGGTCAGTGCTGAGAATACATTTGACATTTTGCAAACGGACAAAACAAGGTGTTAGCGTGTCCATGTTGATGGTTTACGGACACGTGGCCCGTCTAAAGCCCACAAACAGGGACAACCGTAACGTGTAAACAAGGTGGGTAAAACATTCATGTTTAGTGGTTAATGTCGTCATATCTTCTTTTTTTTTACATCAGTGGCGTAAAGGGGTCAAAATTGCAGGATGGAGGAGCTCATTAAAAGCTCATCCTTACCTTCTCCAAATTCTGAACCTGGGTTTCAAGCGGGAACACAGCCGGACAGGTTTCTAGCAAGCCCCCCCCCCCCCCCCGCCACTGTTTTACATTATTTCCCTATACGTTAACGGACCACTGATGCAGCGTTCCACATGTGAAAGAAAGAAGTCAAGATTGTTTTGTGGCATCAATATCTTGTTCAATTTCTGGGTTTTTTTTAAATTTAACAACTGTGAAGTTTTGGTGTTTTTACACAATTCAACGAGAGAGAAAAAATGTGCAGATCTTTCGGGCGTCATAATTATGAGTGGTTTCAAGCTTAACAAAACAAACCACATCACACCGGCCGGCCGTCCACAAAATATATTTAATATTTAATCAGGAAAAAATGCAGCCTGGTCCTTACAGAGAAAAAAATTGCATATAAATTGAGTTTTCATACGCATTTTCGGAGAGGCCCCTTCAAAAGGGGGTACCTCGAGAGGCCGAAAATAAATGGGATGCTTACCCTAATGAGCTGCCGTCTTTCGCCCGGGTCCGTGGCAACTCGGGCCGGCCTGAGCTTGTTTGCCCATCAAACAAGAGGGGCGTAGATTTGTTTTATTCACCGGCACTTTCACTGAGAGCAGCGAGTAGGGGCTCTGAACCAAGCGGTGCGCGCAGGGCGTAAGGGTCCGGGAAGCACCGGCCCCGAGTTGCCCCCGCGTAAGCGCTGAAGCCGGTCATTTTTTAAACACTACCAGTCAAAGTCTCATTAGCGATTGCTGGCAGCTGCCGCTTGTATGCTCTAAAGGGCGCAGCGGGGGCCACGGGAGGCGGGGAGGGGGGGGTGGCGAAAAGCGGGTGTGTAGACAAGACCAAGGGTACTAGTTGCCTCGCCGTTCTTGCTCGACGCTTCGCTCCTGCATTCGTACATCCCTCGTCGCGGCGACCAGTGATGATCGTTTCTGAACTGAAGGAGACCCTTCGTTGAATGGCTCGGTAAACTCGCCTTCCACGGAGAGGGTTTTTGAAAAGCGGTTATAGGCTCGTAAGGACCGTGTCCGATTACTGATCAAATATCGGGTGGGGGAGGGTTCCGGATGGAAACAATGAGGCGTTAATGCAGATGGGCTTGCTTCCATGCGCTCATTGCTGCCCCCGCAAGGAGATCGAGAAAGTATGGAGACCCGAAAAGGCTCGCATTAACAAAAGTCATCTCATAAAATGATGGGCTCCAAGAACGCACTGGTCCTATATACGGCTGAAAACTGCTTTATAACTCTTTCTTACTTCGCCTATTTATCTTCAATTTCTGTCTGATACCTAACTTTCACTGTTAAAATTGTTTTGTTTTTGACTTTCAATAATTATAATCACTCCTAAAAAAA